TTGATACTGGTGCTACTCGCCACGTGTGTTCCGACAAGGGGTTGTTTTCTGAATACACTCCTTCAAATGGTCGGAAGCTCCACATGGGCAACTCCTCCTCGTCTGATGTGGTTGGAGTTGGCATCGTGGTGCTGAAGCTGACTTCTGGAAAGGAGTTGAAGCTTAAGGATTTTCTGCATGTCCCAGACATCCGCAAGAATTTGGTCTCCGGATCTCATCTTGTAGAGCATGGTTTTAAGTTAGTGTTTGAAGCTAAGAAGTTCATTCTTAGCAAGTATGGTAAATTCCTTGGTCGTGGCTATCTCGACAATGGTTTATTTAAAATGAATGTAATGGCCGTGAGCCGTGTAACCGTTTCCAATGATAATGAAAATCGTACTTCTGTTTATATCGTGGAGTGTTCTGATTTATGGCATATTAGATTAGGACATGTGAATCTAAAGGCAATTAAACGGTTGATGAACTTAGAATTAATTCCTAATTCTAAAATTGAATCACACAAAAAATGTGAAATTCGTGTTGAAGCCAAAATGGCTAAATTACCTTTTCATTCGGTGGAAAGAAATACTGAACCGTTGGGTTTAATCCATACTGATGTATGTGACTTGAAGTTTGTGCAAACATGAACGGGTAAAAGATATTTTATAACTTTTATTGATGATTGCACAAGGTTTTGCTACTTGTATCTTTTAAGAAGCAAAGACGAGGCTGTGGAAGCTTTTAAAAATTATAAGACCGAAGTTGAAAATCAACTCGGCAAAAAGATTAAAATAATCCGAAGTGATAGGGGTGGGGAGTATGTAGCTCCTTTTGAACAAATATTTTCTGAATATGGCATAATTCATCAAACGACGGCCCCTTATTCTCCACAGTCGAATGGTGTTGCTGAACGCAAGAACCAAACTTTAAAAGAGATGATGAATGCCATGTTGATAAATTCAGGATTACCCCCGAGAATATGTGGGGGGAAGCTGTTTTAATAGCAAATCATATTCTGAATAAAATACCACCTAAAGGAAAAAATGAGACTCCTTACGAAATGTGGAAAAATCGTAAGCCGTCTTATAAGTACCTGAAAGTGTGGGGGTGTTTGGCTAAGGTTTCAGTTCCTGAACCAAAACAAATGAGAATCGGACCTAAGACGGTCGATTGTACTTTTATTGGATATGCATACAATAGTACTGCATATAGATTTCTGGTTCATAAATCAGAAAATCCGGAGGTATCGGTTGGTACCACTATTGAGTCGAGGAATGCTATATATTCTTCGAGAATATTTTTCCTTTGAAGGAAACGGCAGAATCTAGTTCTAACAAAAGGACGTATGAAACTGCTAGCGGTTCTGTATCAAATGGTA